TGAAGGCACTTTTGTATAGGTATCTCACTTAATCCTCACCACAGATTCGGAAGGTTAATAATAGTCTTCTCATTTCTACCTATGGGGAAACTGAAAATCAGAGAAAGAATATGTAACTTAGCTACAGTCACACTGCAGGAAGCAGGACAGGCTGGATTCAAAACCAGGGCTTCTGGGCAGCAAAGTAGCAAACTCTACATGCTCTGCACTACCAATAAAATATCAAACAGTGAGCAACCCGTTTCACTATTCCTCTTTTTCCTTAAATGACCATTTGTAGAACTACAATACTAGATATGGCCATCTTCTGAGCCTGTTGGTCTAATAGTTCACTTTTTTAGCATCAAAGTATAGCTACCAACCCCCTTATAGTTTCTTGATACTTTCCTTTGTAATCACAGTTCGGGTGGTTTTTAAGTTTAAATCTATGCCTTTTCTGTGTTAAACTTTCTGTTACAGTGCAGGGGAAGGTGATCAGTCCCTTTTGAGAACAGTAGCACCTGCCCTCCTTCCTGCAGGGCTCTGGCACTCAGTAGGGAGTACTTTCCCCACGGGCAGAGCAAGGCCAAAGCAGCTTTCCACAAAGCAACCTGCAAGGTATTGCAGCTTGCTGTGTATCTCTGGCTGCTGGCTGAGGTTCCCTGAGGAGCCCTTCTCACACCAGGCTGCAGTTCCTCTCTGTCTTCACAGGAACCTTTTTTTAAAACCTGTGCTGAGCAAGATGCATTTAACTGTCCCCATTTCTTTTAACAACTGAGCATGACAGCATTTAATAGCCTTGCAAAGACTGTGCGCGCTTCCACCGCTCTGCCTCATTACTCACTGTTTCAGGATGATGCTCCAATCCAATATGCACACTGGAGTCAGGTCATGCCTGGGAACTCAAATACCCTTTTGTCCTAGTTCACCTCATTTTATCTCATTTAGCATTTTTAGCTTGTCTTGTTTTGGTATCTGCTTTATTTAATTGGGCTACTCCATTCTGATTGTTGCTTTGTTCTGCCTGCAAATATGGAAGAATTCTTTTCCTTGTGTTGTCAGCCATAGCACCTGCCACAGAGACAGCTTCACTCAAGAAAGGCAGAAATGTGTGTGACCATATCCTCTTTGGGTAAGGACACATTTTCAGGAGGAGAAAATGTAACAAGATAAAAATGTTGTCCAGTGGCTTGTAGCAGGGCCATGAGGGAGTGGAATGTCCCAGGAAGTTCATTCTTGGAAGAGTGTCCCCCAGACTCTGGCTGATAAGAGCAAGTACTTCTTTAAAAAGCAGCCAAGCAGAATACTGCTCCCCTGGCTGCAACTAGGAAGCAGCTCTCTGTTAATGGGCAGGAGGATGAAAGTGAGAAAGAAGAAAATGCATGCCCACCTTTTCTCTGCTATCACCAAAAAGTCTATTAAGAGGGACAGACAATTCTGGGCACCAGGAAGAGGTTCTTTCTCCAGCCTATGCCCTGATGTGAGCAGCTTCACAAAAAGTAAGGGGTACTCCCAAGTGCTGTGCTCAGGGTAGTGACAACAGCCATAGCAGTTGTAATCATAAGGATTGGGAATGAAGATGTTCCCGGTAATGATTGTTTATGTAAGAGAGTTGGCTGCTGCTGTTGTTTGGTTCAACAAATACTTCTACTTCTGTGGAGATAAAAAGCAAGCACTTGCAATCAGTGAGGAGAGTGAGTTTGTTCCAGGCTTAAATGACATTATAAAACTTTCTAGTTAAGTATATAGGCCAATGAGATTTTAGCACCATTTCTCCAATTTAGCTTTACATACTGGGTGTGCTGTTTCATACAGCATTAACTATCAACATTGTTGTTACTGCCCCCAGCTGGAAAACAGAGTAGTTTATGGGTGAAAGAAAAAAGACATTATCTCCCATCTGCTCCTGCCCATTATTCAGGGATGTGTCATTTGTCTGCTGATGGGACCATCACCAAGATTTTAGTCAAATGGCCTTTTTATACTAGCTACATTTATTAATTATTGTGTTTACATGGCATTTTGCTCCCATCCTTAATCCCACAAATTTAGTGATATAGTTTTCTAAATTTTTTTTTCTAATTAGATTAACCTATATGTGTAATTTTTATTCTACAAATGTGCACAACTGTAAATAGACATATCATATTTTATGCCTATTTTTAATTGTATATCAACTTTACTCATATATTTTTGGTTAATATGCCTGAGGTTAGGTGGCATACAATAAAAAAAGGATGGAGCATGATGTGATTTAATTTATATAAAGGAAAAAACCAGGCAAAGCTAATTAATGCAGATAGAGTCCAGGTCAGTGTTTACCCTTGGAGCTATGTGACCTTCCTGGAAGGGCCCTGGAGGCAGAGAGGGGTTTGGCGATGCTAGAAATATTCTGTGCCTGGTCTGGGTGCTGCTTATAAGAGCGTGTGCAATTTGTTGAGATGTTCATTCATGATATATGCGCTCTTCTGAATATATATTATCTTCCATTAAAATGTAAAAGATGGATGGATCATCTTCACATAAAAAGTAAAAAAGAAGAATCTTCCCAAAGACAAATTAGGACAAATCATTAACCAAACATTTCCATGCCCTCCCACCTCCCCCCCACCCCCCCGCTCCCCCAAAGAAGGGAAGGTTAAAATAAAACAGAGCTCCTTCTTCATTTATAAAGCTATTTTACTCAGGTAAATGAAATGGTGGATGTGCAGTTCCTGCATGCATATCTGTCTAGAAGATACAAACAACCCTTTAATGTAAAACAGACTGAAATATTTTGTTGGAGTTTGGGTATTTTTTTGCTTTAAACAGACTTGAAATTATCATGATTATAGTATATTTGGATGGTTTGTCAAAGTGTGACCTTTTCTACTTTCTTAAATCCTTTGTTTTGAGTGTCTAATTATAGAAAAAACCTGGGAGCAATAATTTTCAGCTAGAAGGGTATATACAGGGTGGGGCAAAGTAGGTTTACAGTTGTGAGTACAGGAGAGAGAGTTTATTCTTGTATTATTATTTATTAATTATTGTATTATTTTCATATAAAAAACTGTAAACCTACTTTTGCCCCACCATGTATATGTGTGTGGAGCACACATTCCTTCCTCCCTCCCTCCCTTTCTTCCTTCCTTCCTCCCTTCTTCCCTTCCTTCCTTTTTTCCTTCCTTCCTTTACAATTTAGTAAGCTAATCCATGAAATGACATCAGGAAGCTTCCACATTACTGAGCTAGGCTCCATCATTTGGGAGAAACAAGTGCCAAACCAAATGGAATTTTTCTTAACAAATGCTAAGATGTGGAGCTTTACTTAGAGATCATTTCAGAAATGTTAAGATGGAGAAAAGTTCCCTAGGGCTTCTCAGAGTTCATTTCTCACATCACCAAAAACCATCCTGCCTGTGGATAACTTAAAGAGACACACACACAATGCTCCTTGAAGGAAATGCCAGGGCAGTTGGCTGGAATAGAAAAATGATTGGATAGAATTCTTAACCCCATTAAAAAAAAATCGATACCTCCCATAGTCCCTTTTGCTTGAGCAGATAAGCCAGCTAAGTAATCTGACAGTTGCAGAATATTGAAAAATAAATTCATGCAATAGCTAGTACATAAAAGGGTTACCAGAGGGAGAGAGGTAACAATAAAATGCAAACAAAAGAAAACAAAAAGGTGGAGAATTTGAAAACACAAGCTCATCAACACACACAATGCATTCTATAGCTCATTGTTATTTGGAGGAAGTTCTACTACTAAAGCGTAAATGCATTGTTTTGTTCATCTAGTAAGTTCAAGGTAGGGCTTGATGACTTTAAAATGACAGTATATACTTCTATAGAACATACACTAAGGTACTATTGTTGCTGCATTTGTTAAGGGACAGAACAGCACTAGAAGTCATTCTTTAATTGGCAACATCAGGAAAATGCATTGTCATTTACACTAAATATACTGTCCTTTTAACTGTAAGGGAAATTCATACTGAGCATGTGCAATGGAAAGAAAGCTGGCAAATGTCAGTGTGAATAATGGGTGAAAAAAAGGAATGAGGGGGTGTGGCATCTCAATCAAGAATAAAATGAAACTATAAAGCAGCATATGGACTGGATAACAAATCAAAAGCATGTTTATCCACTGAAGGAACTGGTTAATGGAGACTGCCAGCACGTTGCCATGGAAACACTGACTGTTGAGCTGCACCATCTCATACCTTATCCAATACATTCCTGGTTGTTGGTAGTAGTCCAAAGACCCTGATCTCTTGATGGTAAACCCGTGGTCCAGCTGAGCAGAGAGAAATGGGGCAACTCAGTGGATCAACATTGTGCTAAAGAATTAAGACTCCAGACCAATCTGTTCTTCATTGACTATACATGGAAATATAGTTATAATGCATCTTCTGTGGGGTGACTAGCTAATATGCTAAGTCTACACATTGAAAATAAAAGGACAAGAAAAGACACTAATCTCTCATGAATACTCAAAGGCCATTTGCTAGAAAAAAATCTAATTTGTCAAACAGGTTTTTGAATGCACATTTAACAATGTCCTCTCAATTTCAAAAAATATAAATACCTTTTCATATTCTATAGAATGGAAAATGCTTTACAATTAAATAAAATACTGACATCATCTTTAGCCACCTCTGAGAAAGCAGATTGGAACCCCAAAAATGTTACCCCATTAGGCTTAAATTTTAGGGCTTCATAAATATGAAATAAAAGATTAAGAGGATCAGGTTTTGAATCCCATAATTACAGCAAATTGGTTTTCCTCCTTTAAGAGTTAATCTTCAAAATCAGAGCTAAGCTTAAAAAAATCAATTACATTTCTAGCCCTGGCTGGGAGGCTCAGTCGGTTTAGTATCTTCCCATGCAATGAAAGGTTTCCAGTTTGATTCCCTGTCAGAGCACATGCCCAGGTTTCAGCCAGATCCTGGTAGGGAAGGGTGCAGGAGGCAGCCGACTGCTCTCACATTGATGTTTCTCCCTCCCTCTCCTTCTCTCTCTAAAAATCAGTAAACAATCTTTTTTAAAAAATCAATTACATTTCTGAACTAAAAATATATAGTGTAAAGCAGTAAATTTTCTCTATGAAAATATAGAAAATAAAAAGTAGTTTTCATTGCGTATTAAAAATGCATATTGCAGTTAAGTACTTATGATTAACAAAAGGTGCGATAAATAGGAGACAGGATAAATTCTCTAAGTTGTTCATCCTGGAATAGGATGTTAGCCTTTGGTTATCTAGAATTAAAAGATTCAGTTCCAAATTTGAAAATCAGTAATCATGCTGTGTACCCACTCCACTCCCCAATCTGCCCTCGACTGGACAAGGACTGGACAAGCTGCACCCATTCTTTATCAGGAGGCTCATGAGTGCTTTCAAGTGTGGTCATGCTGCAGGGCGATGCTGCAACGCTGAGATGCTGACGACTGCTTCTACCTCTAAATTCACAAAAGGCGTTTCAAGTAGATGCTGAGCAGGAGGCATTTAAAATAAACACTCCTCAGAGGATTTGGTATTCTGATTATAAACCAGGCTCTCCCAGTGTACACGGGACAGCAATGTGAGATTTTAATCTTTTAAACAATGTACATTTCATTTTCTTTAGAAAAAAAAGTCAAAGCACTGTTAGTGCTTTTGCTAGAGGGTGAAGGCCTGAACTTCGGTTTCAGTCTGGGAAGATGGCCACTAAGTACCTAGCTCTCTATTGCCATCTACAGGCCAAGTGTCTGTAACACCACGTCTCTAGCCCAGTATCACAATTATTTTCACCCTGATTAGTATGGATTTGTTGTATTAGTCGGAAATGCTCTATTTGCATGATAAAAATGCAAGAGAACTTTAAAGCATTTTGAAAATTATTGGTTAAAATAATAAACAGGATTAAATGAGGAAAAAGAAATTGAAACTGACATCTTAGTCATTGGTTCTTCATCAAGCTGAGCAAATCTAATAATACCTCCTTCCCTTCCCTTAGCTATCAAGAAGTCCACCGTTAAAATGTCATCTCTAATTCCACTTTATGTCTATAAATTGAATTTTAATAACCTTTTGTTTCCTTGTTTCTGTTCTGTTGGATTTTTTTGTTTGTTTTGTTTGTTTGTTTTTAATTTCCCAACTACTGGCAAAGGTAGCAGAGGGAAAATGGAGTCTTTCTGAGAAGTAGAATGTTGCACTTTTAAGGACAGCAGTGGGTTTCCACCTAATCACATTGCCTAACCTAAATGTAAGAACACCTTTTTCCTTTTAGGACTGTATGATCCTTGTGAGCCTCCAGCTGATAGTTAATCTTCTAGCCTATTCAAGGACCTCTTGCAACCTTAATATAAAGTTGTCATTTGTCCTTTCTTCAGCCTCAATAAGGTAGGGGGTGGGAAACAGAGAAGAAAAAATGACACCACCAGCAAAAAACACTAAGATTCAGAACCACGAGTGCATATTAAAACTATGCTCATGTAACACATTACACCTGTATCTAGAGTCTGTTTTGATAGTTGGTTCTTTCTTTCCTCTGAGAAAGAAAAAATGTAACAAATTCTTTTGTAAGCAACATTAATCTCCAGCAGGTAGTTAGGTTTCTAGAGAAAGAGAAATACCAGTTAAAGACTAATGATTTAATTGTTGATTTTCTGAAACAAAGAAAAAAAACAAAAGCTGATTGATACAAATGTGGGTGGGGGGGATGTCCATACTATTTTATGCTGTTTGTAATAAGAGTGTAAAAAATTCAGTCCTAGAATAGAAGATGCTTAAAATAAAGTACAAAGAAAAGAAGAAGAAGAAATAAAATACAGTAGCCTCCTGATAGCCTCCAGGGAGAAGTATGCATGCTCATGGGAAAAAAATTCTGTCTGAATAAAATTTATGATGAAATCAATTTTTTTTCTATATACATCAAATAGAAGTCATTATAGTGTTATATTCTTTACAGAAATTTCAATTATGTGGGTGAATTAATAATTATATTACATCATTAATTGTCAAATGGTTTTTATGAAGGCTATTCCTTCTACCTACCACTTAGATTCTGCCTCACAACAGGATATTGTTCCTTTGCAGTTATACTTTAGTTTGAGTTGGAATATTACTTAATTCCAAGGTTTCTTTTTCATGTGGTAGTCCTCTGAGGCTCCTCTTTTGCACTTTAAGAATGGGAGCACTGTTATAGAATGTAAATGGACTTAACCAGTACCATTCTGAAAGATAATAACAAAGGCAGCCAAACTGTCCAGTTTCTAATTCTCAGCCCTGCTCTGGGATTGGTGACTCTCTCATCCTTCCCTCCCACCCCAGGTTCTTATGGAGAGTTTGGACATTTATGAGGGGAAAGCATCCTGGAGAAAGTGCATATATGATGGTAAGGCAGTTTTTCCAGAAACAGCTCTGAAATTTAGTGATATTCTCTTTCATGCTTGAAATATTAATGCCAATAGTCAGCATGTAAATTGTGCTTTAGAGTTGACAAGGTACTTTATCAGATACTTCTCCAAAGTGTTAATTATTTTGTGTCTTAATTAAGTTGGTAATTATTTTTAAAAAAATTGTAGTGGATAAAGAAGATTAAGCATGCAACTAATGCGTAACTCAGCATCACAAAGCCCATTTTATAATTTATAAGTCTATTACCAGTTTGTACAGTTTCCATGAAATATGTTAGTGATGATCTGAGAAACTGATATTAAATTGCATTCAAAATGGTCCAATTATGATATTTAGGGAAAAATTATTTAGCATCTGATCTTCAAATGCTAACTGGAGTTTTATTGAAATCTATTTAGATAAAGTTTTAGGTTTTGGAATTTATCCAGGTTTGATTAAAGTAGGATTTCCCCTCATATCTGTCATTGTCCATTGGAAAATTGTTCTGAAGTTCCTGTCCTTAGTCATTATAAGATTCCCAGAATACCATGAACAAAGAATTATGGAGCAACCCAGTCAAATTTAACCAAAGACAAATTAAAATGAAAAATAAAAACAGGAAAAAATTAGAGTGGTAGAGAAAGCACCCTCTCTAGCAGCTGTAAACTCTCAACAGGAGCAGAAAAACAGTCCTTTTCATGGACAAGCGTGCTGGCAGTCCATTGCAAAATAAAATTGTGGAATCAAAAGTTTCGGTATAAGTGTATAACTTGAATGAATGATGAAAACAGAGTATAGAGTGTCTGGTTTAGTTGAGAACCACCAGGAGATTATTACTTTTAAAAATTGTGATAGAAAATGCTGATAATAAAGAATGCGGACAATCTAGGAAGACATGGAAGACAATGTACTTCTACATTGAATTTCCTTAGAAGTACTAAAGACAGAGGGCAAGAAGAATAGATTGCAATTTTAGATCCTTAACAGCACTGAAATTCAGGTATACATATTGTCAAGTGTACTCATGAACAAGTTACTCACAAAAGGGTTCAATAAAAAAACATGAAATGCAAGCAGTACAGAAAGTATATGCATGTATTCATGCCATCTGCAAAATCTGGAAGCTCCTATCAAATATTTAGTAACCCAGATTTGGGATTGGTTATATCAAATATATCAGTCACATATGTTTAGTTTTATCTGGAGCTCCAGCACAATAAAAAATAAAAACAAAAATGCTGTAATCATAGTTAAATATTTAGTATTGCTGTTGAGCATGAAGTACTATTTAGTAGCATAAATACTTTTTACCATTGGACAACATTTCTTTGTTTAAAAAGAAAAACAGTTTAAGTGATTTCACATTGAATATGCTGTTAAAAAATGAAATTATTAAAAACAAGTAATCTGGGACTTGAATATCCTCTAGAATATGACACCAGGAAGTATGAGGTTTCATTATTTTTCTATCCAATTTAATCTTTGCCTAGAGCTGCTCTCAAATTGCATGTAGTGTGTGTCTGCATGTATAGAACAGGAAAAAAAATCTGTGTAGCTACATCAATAAAATGTTAAATTTTAAAAGACTTTCAACTTTAAAAATGAAATTTCTGAAGAGCAAGACATTGTAATTTCTTTGTGTGTTCACAGCGATTCAATTTCCCTGAAAATTTTACTGTGTAACCTTTCTGCTCTGTTTTGGCTTTCATTTAGGTCTCATACAAAGAATCATACTGTTCCAATTCTCTCTGCAATGTCGTGTTTCTCAGCTTGCCTTCCCTCCAAGGTCCTGGCAAAAGAATACAATGAACTCCTTTCCTCAGAGCCCAAAAGTTTGCATTGGCACACAGTCCAGTGTGGGGGAGGTTTTCTGCTTTAAAAAATAAATCATGAAATTAATATAAACTGCAAGACACCCTGGAGGTGTTGGATAATGATGTGACGACCTGGGAAATCATCAGCAAAAACACGTGATGTATTTTAGCCCCAAGCTCCCTCAGTGCTTTAAACGGTCGAGCTGTCTAAAGAAATGACCCATTCCTCTGTCTCTGGGTGGAATCTCCTGAATATGCCTGTCTTCTAGGTGGATTGCTTTAAAACAAGTTATAGGTGGGTATTTCAGATGCTTACTGCTATGACAGAAACTCCAGCTGCTGTGCTATTCGGCTTGGGGCCTGTGTTGAAATGCTTCTTTATCTTTCCAGCTACTGACAGCTGATGTTCATTTTCTGGGAGGCCGTCATCCTGGGCCGGGAGGGTGGGAAAGAAATAAAGGAAGGAGAAAAAGAAAAAAATGAGATATGAGGAATATGAGGCCAAGATCTCCTAGTAACAGGCAGTGATCTTAACATTCATAAGATTTCAGAAATAAACTGGTCAATGTCTTCTTATTAAACACTGTTGTTAGAAGTACAGCTCTAAGGTCTCATGCATTTCCACATCTGCCCTAAAATTAATTTGGCGTGTCATCTGTCCCTCAGAGTTCCCTAAATAAAAATTGTTATTTCTGTTGTTTCTAATAAAATAATTTCAATCATAGCTCCAGAGACATATGTCAAAGAGCAAGTTAATCTGGACAACAACAATAACAAAACATCAATGTAAACATTTTTATTTTCTGATCCAAGAATTTTACCCTCTTACCCCATCATTCAGACCCATACCCAAGAAGACTGACACACTTGGGCTCCTGCAAGCTATTCAATCAGCCATTCTATAACTCCAGACAACCTTCCAGGCAGAAAGTTCTTCCTTAAGTTTTAAATCCTCCTTGCAGCATTCAAATCATCTGTTATGACATACTTCACATTGGAGCTCATTTTAACTAAGGCTTCTGCTCTCTGCCAGAGCTGTCTGTGATGGAGGCTGGACAGATTGCTCTCCTTGTTAGCAATACTGTTAGAATAACAATAACCCAAGTCATAAGTATGTGCCATCACTTACTAGATTATGATCAAAAGGCCGCACAATCTTTGGAGACCAGAGACTGTGTTTTGTTCACTGTGGAACCCTCAGGTCTTAACATAGTGCTTTGGCACATTGTAGATGCTTAGTAAATACTTGCAAAATAAATGAATGGATGTATAATAAAGTGTTTGTTACTATCTCTTAAAACCAAAGTTCCTGGCAGGACTTCAGTGCCATTCATCATTTTCCGTCTCCCCTTCCTCTCCATCTTTCCAAACGGGACATGCTTACCCTTTTGCACAACATGGACTCTCCACATGGGATCTACTCCTTCTTTTAGTATTTGGCTACTTATTTATTCAGCAAATATTAACAACATGTTGACAGTGGACCAGGCACTAGAGTAAGTGGTGGGAAAATGAGGGTGAGCAAAAATAGGCATGGGCTTTGCTCTCATGTACCCTGTTATTGCTCTTCTTCTTCAAAACTTGGGTCCAAATCACCTGTTCCAAAACACTTCCCCTTATTGAACACAACTTATTCTAATGGTTCTTCTGTAAACTTCTAATGCTCATTTATTCTATATATTTGCCTCCCTACTTATATATTATTTTTGATGCTAGGTGATTTTGTAAGTATAACACACACATATTATTATATATATATATACACACACACACAAGTATATGTATTCACTCACAAAGTATATATATACTGAACTCTTGTTCTTTTGTACCATGCCTTCCACATTTTCTGTAATCTTTAACAGAGGCTCTTGGCTCAGTGCTCTACACACAGTGGATTCTCAATTTATGATAGATATTCTTGCATTGGTTTATTAATGGCTAGAAGAAGAAACAATTATTATGCTTATTGACTCACATCTGAAACCAAATCTAGAGGAAGGAGGTTTTGCAATGATGCAGAGTGAATTCAAAAAAAATTTAAAAGTCTGTATTGTGGAAAGAAATAGAAATGAAATGAAAGTCAGTTAAGGCAGCAGTGAAATGACACTTGGGGAGGGAAGAGAAACAGGGACATATGAAGTGCCTGCTGTGTTAGGGATGGGAGGGGGGAACAGTATCTGCCCACCAGAGAACCTTGCAAACTACTCGGGAGACACAGTATGGACACACTTTGTCAAATAATAAAACAGGTTAACAAGATGAGATGGAGCTGTCCCAGGCAGTATAGCCTTATGGCTTAGCTAGAAACATGGAAAGAGTTCAGAGGAGACAGGACATATTTTCCTTTGTGAGCAGTCAGCATAGGCTTCATGAGGATTATGGGACTGGACCTGGTCCTAAATGATGGGGAACGTATTGACAAGTAGAGAGAAGGGAACGTGAGGTTTGGTGTACAGATGCATGTGAGCCACAGGGCATGTTTGCCAAACAATGAGTCAACCAGTTTATCTCTGGTTAAGAGTTTATGCAGGAGAGTAATGGCAAACAAAGGAGAAAGAACAGAAGATAGGACACAAATGAATACCAAAAAGATCCAAAGACTGAAGTATTATTTAGGAATAAAGCAAAGTTTTTTAGTAAGGGGGTTAGCAAGTGTGGAGGACTACGGCCCTTTACTCAGATGTTTTACAGTACAGTTTCCAGTTCCCAACTCTCCTAGTGGGAGAGAAGTCCTGCGATAATCGCAAAGATTAGGATTATGCCAATCAAAGTGTGAAACACGAGGACAAATTCAATGGTGTATGCAAATACTTTTTTTAAATGGTAGATGAAACAGCAGGCCCTTGGGATCTAAGTTAGAATGTTGGGAATATTTAAACATTTGACAAAGGATGAAATGATGTACCTTTACTGAAGGTTTTACAAATATTAGTCTCACATATCTGGCAAGGTTTGGGGTTCTGCCCCACCCCCAAGATTACAGATATAATTCCAGTCACCTCTTGGGAGAGTTCCAGGCTATGCCAGGCAGTTATTTGTATGTGCTTTAGACTATGAAGAAGCAGATGGGCCCTGATTGGTTTGGCTCAGTGGGTAGAGCGTGGGCCTGTGGACTGAAGGGTCCCAGGTTCGATTCTGGTCAAGGGCATGTACCTTGATTGCGGTCACATCCCCAGTAGGAGGTGTGCAGGAGGCAGCTGATCAATGTTTCTAACTCTCTATCCCTTTCCCTTCCTCTCTGTAAAAAATCAATAAAATATATATTTTTTTAAAGAGCAGATGGAAGGAAAGTTTTTCTCTTTAAGACAAAAACAAACAAACAAAAAAACTCTTGAGGGTATTTGAAGTCTCGGGGTCAGAAGCTAATGGCAAGGAAGAGTTGGAAGACAGGAAAAGGCACAGGATGGAGGGGGAAATGAAGCAGTCTGCCTTGGGGAAGTGTAGGTTTCTCTTTGTCTTTGGTGCAAGATGAATTAAGGAGAGAAAGGGTGAGGCCTGTTTTGAGGTGGAGGGGAGGCAAATTAAAAGAGAAAGACAGAAAGAGGAAGATGACACAAGTGTTAATTCCTTTGTGGTGTGTGCTAACAACTTACATCTATGATCTCCTTAATCCTCAGATTATCCTCTACAATATGCCTATCAGTCCCATTTCAAAGATAAGCAAACAGGCTCAGCAAGGTTATTCGCTAAGGTCACACAGCTAGGTCTAGAACTTCTGTGCATTCATTAGCATGATATCTGCTACAAAAGGGCTCCCTAAGTGTTAAATGGAAGAACTCAATGACTTCTTTTCCATGATAAAAGTGGCACTATAGTGAGGGGGTGGGAGAGTTGGATTAGGAGCTGAAAAAAATGGAATACTGTATTTGGACAGGCCTGAATGGAGCCTGGGAAGCCTTTGAATGAAGGTCAGTTAAAGTGATATTTAGCACTTCAGGAGGCCCTTTGGATTGCAGTTGGAAGCTTCTGTCAAGGAGAGACTTATTTGAGATAAGGCAATGCAACCTGTTAAGGTGGGGTCTCTCAAATCCCATGTGGAGCAGGCTGTGCTAGAAGCCCCAGCTAACAATGGATGACATAAAGTAGCATTGGGTCAGTGTGGGCCTGTGATTGGCACAGGTTGAGTTTAATATCCTGGGTACACATACAGAGGAAAAAAAAAAAAAACAGCTGGGATTCCATAGCAGCAGTCCCTATGTAATTTACTGAGGAAGATTTACCTTGCTGCTTAGTCCTGCCTCCTCACTTCCCCACCATTGGGCATCCTTACCAGAAATTTCCCTTTACCTGAGTTCCTTTCCCTGCCAGCTCTTGAACTAAGAGTTTGTTTTCTCATCACTCTCACAATGGACTTCCTTATCATTTCCTGGTCCTGCACTGTAAAGACTCCTAGCAACTCTTTTAATTAATTGACTAATTAATTAATATTTTTAAATTTTATTTTTTGTTGTTGAAAGTATTACAGATGTCTCCTTTGTTTTTGTTTTTTGCTTTTTCCCCCATTGACCACCTCCTCCCCGCACCCACCTCTCCCAAGCCTTCACCACACTATTTGTGCTTAGCGACTCTTTTACATATTATATCCTAGGGGCTCAGGCCTCCAGCTTTAAATTCTAGTGAAGTTTTCAATTTCTATTTGGTTATTAATTCATGCTGAAGCAACATAATGAAGTAGTGAAACAACCCTCAAAAGATGCTTTTGACTTCAAAAATCTTAAAACCGTTCAGAATTTGTTCCCAATGAAATAAGGTATCTCAGCTAGAGAAAGTAACACACACACACACACACACACACACTCCCCACAGTAACTAAAAAGTCTGTAGTTTCTTATCGATTTTGAAGGCTTTGAGCATAATTGAATTAAAAGATATAAACACATGGTTTTGTTGGGACCTAATCTGTACCTGAGGCATATGGATTGATGATGGAGATTTAGTTAATTTACTGTCTTGCATCAATAAAATAAATAGGGCCATTAAAAACATACATCTTTATCACCATTATTCTGAATAGATTATGTGCCAAAAATGTGCTATGAATTTTCTAAACGTGACAAACCTGGAAGTATGTTACAAATAGTCATAGTATTATTACCATACGTTTTGGTATGTAGTTTCTGGGAGTAGTTTCTTGTTTGACACAGGCTGGTTGTGGTTTGAGGTTAGTGGTTTTTGATTTAGAAATTCCCATCCACCACTTGACAGAGCATTACAACTGACAAGAACAAAATTAGTTTGCAAAATGGAAAATGAACTCTCACAGCTGTCTGTAGGAGACCTGGTCTCCATTTCTCCAGCGGATGTTGGGAAGGAGGTGGAGGCCTGGACATGAAGTCACTGGGTTGAGTGAATTTCCCTCCTTAGGGAGACCATTCCAGGGGTCATGCTTCAGAAAATCCTCCTCCCTCATGGAGTTTTGTTTTTGGATCA